GAAATTCAAAGTTGATTTCTTTTGTGTATTGGTTTCATATGATTTTAAATCTAACTGCTTATGACTTAAGTGAAATTGTTTTAATCCACATGTTTATGACAAAGACCAAAACTACAGTTGTGTTGACATGAGAATGAAGTAAACTGTGTCAGGATGGCATCATCTCATCTCCTCTCACTGTTAAGAATTCGGCTGCTCAGCTGCTGAGGGGAAACCTAGGAACTTATCAATAAAAACATACAAAGAAGCAAAGAAGCAACTATGACAAAGGGACATTTAGACTATAAATACTCAGAGTTTGTGAGGACTATGCAAGAGTATTCAGTTTGGCCAATGCAACTCTTGGCTGATCTAAAACAGCTCTCCAAGACCTTGGTCATTAGCTCCTGCCTCAATGGAGGAGACTCTCTAACCGGCATTGGGGAGGGCCATGAATGGGCCCCACTTATGAAGATCCTCTTGCCCATCAACACCAGACCCAAGTGATCTGGTAACCTGCGACTTAACACTTTTGTGTGGCAGCTGGATGTCAGCTCTTGGTTGACTGAGTTCTTTCTCCACATTAATAACTGGTACAAAAGTTACCTCAACTAAGTTTTGACTTCATTTCTTTCATCTTCCCTGGCCTGGATCAATAGGGTAATTAATCTATCACTGATTTGGAGTATGCTATTTCTTTACTGGCTTATTAAGAGATATTATACTGTATACTTTTGGTTTTTGGAATTTCTATAGTAAACCTATTTAAATAAGATGCTAAAAGACAAACTCAGTCTCGAAGCATAATCTGCCTCCCAAAACAATTTCCAAAATTTTCAAATGTTTCTAAAACAGAGAATATGTTTTCATATGTATCTTCCTACATTATAGCTTTCTGTTGCATCAAATGACCACAAAGATAAGTAATAAAAATTTAGCTGATCCCTACAATAAGATGTTTAAAAAGTACGCTATAATATGCACATATACTATAGCATATAAACATGAGCCTGGTTATCCTATCAATTTCTAAGGAGTGTTATGACCACAATTTTAAATTGGTAAATTTGGTATACATTAATATTCTCCTTAGTTTTCTAAGACCTAATGTTACCATTACCCCCTACCTCACCCCAGCCACTCTCCATTTCCGTCTCATTATCTTGTTTTATTTTACTTCATATAATTTTATAATCTGAACTTATCTTATATATGCATTTGTCTGATTCACTCATTAGGATTTTAAACTTCACATCAGCAGGTACCATATTTATTCTTACTTACCACTGTAATCCCAGCATATAGAAAAAAAAAATTTTCTGATGAATAAAGGAAACACAAGTGGCTTAGCTATTCATTTATTTTCCTTACAAATAATAATAGAAAACCTTAGCATGTATATTTTGATAATAATACAATGTCTTTAATAAAGTAGTATTTGTCAAATACAGGAAATGTAAAAAATTCAGTGTATCTGTTGAAAGTGTCAAAAATTAATATTTTGCATCAGAATATTTTAAAAAGTGCTAATTAGACATACTGCTTTAGTAATTTCTACTTCATAAAGCCTCTGAATATTATGAAAATTATGATTTGACAAAAAGCAAATCCTACACCTAATATGGAAAGGAAAACATGCCTGAATATTTGTATTTTTTCTAAATATAAAAAAAAGATATCAACAAATAAGTAATAATATATTCGATAATTATATGACTTCCTTGGCTCTGGCAGCTTCATTAGGAGACTCACTACTTTGGTTTTCTGTAATAATAATTACGTTATATTTAAAGAAAAACTAGAGGCCATTTAGAATAATCATCACTTTCTGGGTTTCAGAAGGAACCTTTCACTTTCGTGAGAAAGTTGTAAGTTCAGGCCCTATGAAATTTGGGATATATTCTTAGAGTGTTTAAAATTACACAGTCCATAGGAAAAGAAATTCAAAGTTGATTTCTTTTGTGTATTGGTTTCATATGATTTTAAATCTAACTGCTTATGACTTAAGTGAAATTGTTTTAATCCACATGTTTATGACAAAGACCAAAACTACAGTTGTGTTGACATGAGAATGAAGTAAACTGTGTCAGGATGGCATCATCTCATCTCCTCTCACTGTTAAGAATTCGGCTGCTCAGCTGCTGAGGGGAAACCTAGGAACTTATCAATAAAAACATACAAAGAAGCAAAGAAGCAACTATGACAAAGGGACATTTAGACTATAAATACTCAGAGTTTGTGAGGACTATGCAAGAGTATTCAGTTTGGCCAATGCAACTCTTGGCTGATCTAAAACAGCTCTCCAAGACCTTGGTCATTAGCTCCTGCCTCAATGGAGGAGACTCTCTAACCGGCATTGGGGAGGGCCATGAATGGGCCCCACTTATGAAGATCCTCTTGCCCATCAACACCAGACCCAAGTGATCTGGTAACCTGCGACTTAACACTTTTGTGTGGCAGCTGGATGTCAGCTCTTGGTTGACTGAGTTCTTTCTCCACATTAATAACTGGTACAAAAGTTACCTCAACTAAGTTTTGACTTCATTTCTTTCATCTTCCCTGGCCTGGATCAATAGGGTAATTAATCTATCACTGATTTGGAGTATGCTATTTCTTTACTGGCTTATTAAGAGATATTATACTGTATACTTTTGGTTTTTGGAATTTCTATAGTAAACCTATTTAAATAAGATGCTAAAAGACAAACTCAGTCTCGAAGCATAATCTGCCTCCCAAAACAATTTCCAAAATTTTCAAATGTTTCTAAAACAGAGAATATGTTTTCATATGTATCTTCCTACATTATAGCTTTCTGTTGCATCAAATGGCCTGTAATTTTGTCAACTCACTTTCTAATTAAATCTATTACAATATTTATATATAATAGGTATTTATTTTAAAGACATTGTTTTAAAATATGTATTTAATATTGTTATATAAATTAATTTTATCCAGACTGTCTTTTGAAGAAAGTTAATTATAAGGATAATTACATTTTAAAATTATGCATAAATTTATTTATCACATTGAAAAGATGGAAATAACTATTATTCTATGACCTCATTACTGACGAATGCAAGTTAAGTTAGATATGGCACATCCAGTGGATGCAATGAGACATTAAAAATTACAAATTAAGAATTAATTACAAGAATAACGTGAAACAAAGTTCAGCAAGGTAAAGCAAGATACTAAACTGCATATTCATTAGGATCATATAGCTACTATTAAAAAGGTAGACAATTTTAAAACAGAAAGAAAAATGTGCCGAAATACTAATAGTGATTCTTTGGATAAGAGGATTATGAATAATGGTCTTTTGATCTACTACTTTTTAGGTGTTTTCTATGACATGAAAGTATTATTTTTAAATTGGGAAAATAAAATAAGCTTAGCTGTTCTTAAAAATAGAACTTTCTTTAAATAGAAATATAAATTTAAATGAAAACATTATTACAAATGTTTATTACAAAAAGATTGAATTTGAAGTTTCATTAAATTTTTGCTTCCTATCAGGTTTTAATTTTCCAGATTGATAGGAAAGAGAACTGCTGAGAGGCTCTGTGTGATAGGTCCTCAGGCAAAACTCACAAATAATACAGCCAATCTACATCAAATAGCTCATCTAGATGACTCTTTATCCAACACTACATGAGCTAATGTTTAAAGATCAGAATGTCTGGTAAATTAGGATGTAAAGAGCTATTTTTAAATGATTTACAGAAGAATATTTTAAAAATCAATGCTACACTTTTCTGAACTTCGTTTCTGTTAACACTTTAAGATACCTCTGATAATACTTAATGAATTTCAAGTGTACTCCTATAAACAAGAAATTGTGCTTAGGTGGGGTTGTTTTTCCATTGGAAGAAACATGTACAATACATTAGGGTACTCAGTTTGCTTTATTAAAGATAAAATATGTCTATAAAAGTGAAAGTAAAAAAGGCGAAGATGGCATCGCTGTCTACCGCTGGGGAAACCTTAGGGAAATTTGCAGCTCTGAGTTGTAAACTATGGTAATTTAGCAGTGAGGCTGATGGATATCAAAGAAAGCCTTCTATAATCCTTAGTGGCTTGGAGGTAGAAAAAACAGAATTTTGAGGCGGTGAAAATATAACTACAGTTTAGTTAAATCTTTTGCTTCAAAGTTAGTGGTATCGCTTAGCTTTGGAATATACACATACATATCTGTGCAAAACTAATTATTCTATTTTTTCTTTTTCCCAAGAACTTTTTATTAAAGAAAATTTCAAAATAAACAAACGTAGAGACAATGGTATATTGAACACCCTTTTCTTCCAAGTTCCCATCACCCAACTTCAGCAATTATTATTTAGGGCCAATTGTTCCATCTCTACGCCCACCTATTTCCCATCATGGTAGACTATTTTGACTGAAATCTCACACACTGTATCTTTTCCTCTATAAAATTTCAGTAAGAGTCTCTAAAAGACACTTTAACACATATTCACAACATTGTCATGTCTACAAGAAAAAAGATATTCAAATTTCAGACTGTTTTATTCTACCTTTGGATCCAAATATATGTTAAGTTCTATTTATTCCAACTGGTTGATATGTCTCTCAAGTCTTTTTTAATCAATACATTCTCCTTGTCCCAATAATCGCTTTTTTCCCTCCCTTACAGTATTTTGTCGAAGGAACCAAGCTACTTGTCCTATACAATTTCCCATAGTCCATTTTCTATAGTTGTTAATTTATTAATTGCCATAATTATTACAGATTAGTTACTGAAGTAGAAGGCAAAGAAATGCAAATATAGTGGAACTAAAAGAGACCCCAGATGCACAATATCACCTGCAACTAACATATGAACAAAAACTACTTGTTAGTAAATTAAGGGGGCAAAGCCCATAAAAAGAAAGAACTGTTGATAGTTTAAGTCTACAATTAAGTGATATTTTCCCTTTTCAGTAAAGTTTATTAAATTGCAAATAAAGTAACCAGGATAAATCTTAAGTGCACAAAGTATAAATAGCAAATATGGTGGTACTTACCAGTCTTCATTTCTAGTAATCGCTTTTTCTTTTGTTGGCGTTCAAGTCTTTCTTTCTCGGCCAATTCTTTGGCTACTCTGGCACGTTTTTCTTTTTCCTCTGCTTCTCTTTTTTTGATGTTCTCCTTTATTACTTGCTGTTACAAATAAAGTTTGAAAAATGATCAATTTTAACCAAAATAATTCCACAAAGAAAATGGAAAATTATTAATCTGTAGAACTGGGATTAAATATATTTTAGATCATGGTTACTTCTAATAGTCATAGCAGTCTTTCAAAAAATTAGCTCATGAACCGTTGTCAAATGTCTATGTATCTATAATCACAATTGCTATGTTTGAAGCACCTGCATCTTGGTGAAATCAACAAGAGAAGGAAGACAGAAACTACAAATAAAAAGCATTTAATTTACAAATCAAAATTGTTTTCATATATATATTTCTAAAAGATTGTCTAGCAAATGTTTTCAAGTCTCCCATAATCTCCTCTGCTAAGTAAACTATGGAGTAGAAGAAAAAGAGCTGAAGAAATGATAGAAAAGAGCTGGTATTTTCTAATGGCTACTTTATATTACAATCTTTAACAATTTCTTCTATATTGTAAGGATGACAAAAGAAATATTTGGTATTTCAAAGCCACACCATCTGACTGTTCATCAAAACCAGTAATAACATGTGAACCATAATATCTCAATAGATTATGTGACGCATTTCTCTTTTTTCTTTTTTTTTGTGTGATGCAGTTCTTGTTTTCTAAGTTTTATACAAGTCAAGAAATGCCTCTCATGTGGCATTAGTGGGAATTAGCAGGGAAACATGAATTTTTCTAAGTGCCAACAAATAGCATGTATGGTATTACAATTTCCTACAGAGACTGTAATCTCAGTACCAATGATTCCAAACAGGTTATCTAATTGCTAGTTTATCACTAATAGTATAAAATAGGAAAGTATATAACTAAGCTTTAACAGGTAGGTGGCTTATGTTATTTGGAGGAAGGCTTTAATTTCCTCTTTACTGTAATCTTATTTTTGTTAACCCTAAGGTCTTCATTAGAAATCAAATAATAAGTTTAATATTGACAAAAACAATGAAAGGAAAAGTACAAGGGCAAAAAAGGGGAATAAAAAGCAGAAAGGGAAGAGTAACTCATCCATCCAAGCATTCATTCAGTAAACACTTCCTGAGACACTGTAGTAAATAGTACTATTCTAAGGACCTGAGATATCTATATCTATATCTAATACAAGTTTACCTTCTGTGTGTTAGGGTGGGGCAGGAGGCAAGCACAGACAATAAACAATAAAAAAGGTTTGATAAATACAGTACTATGAAAGAAAGAAAACAGAGTAATGTGATAGAATGTCTAGGGAGTTCCTTTGTATTAGGTGGTCAGATCAGGCCGCACTCACTGGTTTCATTGAAGCTGAATCTTGAATGTCAAGAAGCCAGCTAAGTGCTGGTCTGGGGGAACAAATGCAAAAGCTGTTAATGTGTTTGAGAGAAAGGCAGCCAGGATGATGGTGTAAGATGGTGGTATAAGGTCAGGATATATGCTGACACCTGATCATTTAGGGTCTTCTCAGCCAACATGGCAGGGGTCGAGTGGGGTCAGATTTTCTTTTAAGGAAAACTGGAAAAGAACTGGAGACTTTTAAGCAAGAGAGTGTAAGACTAAGAACTCTAAGAAACAAATGCTAATCAAGCACTTTGCTCCAAACTACCTTTTCAAAGATATTTGTGCAATAAAGTCTAGGAAGATAGAGGTAGGGACTTAAGGAAATGGATTTGTTTATTGTCCAGTATGATAAACTGGGGTTAGGATCAGGCATTCTTACTACCTTTTAAAAAACAATGGGTTGCCTACATTTAGCATTTCCCTCCAGTAATACAAACTACTATGTATGTATGTAGGTATTAAATGTGGCCCTCTTCACACTACCTTGTGGGAATTTGGGCTCTGCAATCTACAAAATGGTTTACTCTGTCTACTGCTATTGCTGTAATAAACTTATCTTTGTCTCTGACCCCACAGTCTTATATTTTCTGCCAATATCCACTAACTATGGCAGGCTAGCGAGGTAAATTCTCATACTCTTTCTTCACAGTTCATCATATATATTAGCACTAATTATTACCGCTAAGCTATGAAATGCCAGCTGCAATAATAGATGCTTTAATACGCAATCCCTCCAATCCTTGAAATGGATTCTGCATTCTCCATTCTCCATTCTGTGACAGAAAGGTTAAACAGTTGTCCACTATAATGAAAGTAGTGAGGGGCAAGAAAGCTAGCTATGGTCTAACTTTTTTCCACCATGTTGCTTCATATTAGGGTAACATGTTAAGTGCCAACTGTAAGACAATAGCTACTGTAAAATTCAACATAAGTTAGGAAAGTAGGAGAAGGCAACATAGAAGTAGAAAATACATGTGGTTCCAAAGACAAGTGTGCTTATCCGTGTGTGTGCATGTGTGTCCATGTATGTCTGTGTAAGGGAGATGGGGAGGAAGAAAGGATTGTGATGGAGAAGAAGATAAGCAAATATTCAGGAATCAAAACTGTATTACCTGCTTGAGGGAAATGAGTTAGATGATCCTACAATAGATAAAAATATATGCCTTATTTATGACACTTATTAAAGTACAAAATTTTCTGATACGAATTTTCTTCTTTAATGACTAGATGCATTTAAATGAGAACATTTAATAGATCACCTATTACCAGATATAACTGCCACACCCTTCTAGTATTCTGCTGGGCAATAAAAAGTCAAAATTACTTCCCAGGATCTATAAAAATAATGTTTACATTTAGAAATAAGGTCTGAAGCAGTTCTTAAAGCTATTTTGTTTTATGGAAAACACACAACTGATTTTCATTTAAAAGCCTATCTCATTTAAAACATATCTTATTCTGACATTATAACCATTAGGAGAAGAAGTTAAGCTAGAAAAATACCAATAGAACAGCATAGAAATAGGTACTTAGTCAGAAACTAACACCCCAGTTCAAAGAGTAATTTGGGATTTTTCTTCTAAATGTTTAGAAGTAAAAGTAACCTAAAACAGAAAAGCTGGTTAGAGAACCACATTATTCTGGATACAATTGCCTCATGGTTACTTCAATTTTAAATTTAAAGCTCGAAAGGAAAGTTAAGGTGAGCCACACTTAAAGATAGTCAGGTTTAAGACACCAATTTTCTTTTTTAATCATCTTTTTCTTGACCTGGTTTTCCATTTAGTTAATTGGCAAATAAATTGCACCCCTATCAACTACTTTCAGCTATGCAGTGCCAAAAGGAATTCTGTCAGTGTTTGCACCACTTCCCAGATACAGCCTGAAGCATGCTTTGTCTGAAAGATCTGCGAGCTACCAGTCTACAGCAATGACCACAGAGGGTTTTAAAACCTCAGCCACATTTTTGACTATTCATTTCAAAAGAATAATGAATAATTTTCTTGAGTTCTTAATGCTCACATACTTTTTACAGTGATGTCAGATTCTAAAATATCTATGTAAAAAGACATGATATATTAATATGTGCATTCAAAAATATACAGAGAGATGTTAACAAATATCCATGTGTGTGTATTCTGGAAGAAGATAAAATAGGAGCTCATAATTACTTCCCACCTATAATTTATGTTTTCTACATAACTCATTTAATAACACTCTTGCGACAACTAGTTTAAATATACATTATAGCATTATGTTATATATTTTCTCTCAGAGAAACCAAAATGACCCAAAGTCAGTCAATTTAAATGAGTGTGCATGTATATCTGTAGAATTTAGAACAGGAAGGCATTGGCAGAGTGCAACCTACCATAAATTGTGGCTGTTATCATACGTATTATCTTTGAGTTGTTTGAAAATTACATCATCTTTATTGTAAACATCTGTGATTTGTTTCCACTCAGTATTACAGTTCCAAAATTCACCCATATTTTTCTACAAAAATTGAACCTCATTTTCATTGCTTATAATATTGACTTGGAGTTTATTATTTGTTCTATCAGTTGGATTTGGGTTGTTTCCAATTTTTCGCTATGATGAACAATGCAGAGAAACATTTGATACATGTCCCCCTGTGTATATATGTGTGTAAGCTTTGTAATGGCAGGTCCCATTAGTTGGTTCTTAGGGCTGTTTAGAGACTGTTGACCATCCCTGTTTAAGTGAATGAGAACAGAATGTTTTAGAATGTAACTCAAGCAGTAAGGATAAGTACTTTCTGTGGATGCTTTTGTTTCTCTTCTAAAGAGTGCTGGGTCTCACTGTAAAACATTATTTAACAATATGGGTTATGGTAAAAATACTTTGAAATCCACTGGTCTCTAGGACAGGAGTGGAACTGATGAATCAAAGGAGGGGTTCATCTTAAATCTTACTAGGTGATGCAAAATTGTTTTCAAATGGTTGTAAAAAGGGATAACCCTACTATCAGTGTGTAGTCATAGCCTACATACTCACCAAACTGTTACCTTCAATATTCTATGTATTTGGCAGCTATAGAATAATACCACATCATGCTTTGAACTTCTATGTCTATCATTACTAATTAGTTCAAGTACCTCACATGTTTATAAACATTTGTATTTCCTATTCTGTGAAATGTCTTTATCTTTGTTCCGCTTTTCCATTAGGTTATCATTTTCTTAATGATTTGAGTTCTTTAAATATTCTGGAATCTTTTGTCAGCTTTATGTTTTATAAATATATCCTGGATTGCAACTGTCACTGTACTTCATGATGTCTTTCAGTAAACAGTTCTTAAATTTACGTAGTCAGAAATGTCTTTTATTGCTGGCACCTTTTATATCTTACTTAAGAAATCTCCCCTACTTCAAAGATATTCTTCTATATTTTCTTCTTAGAATTTTAAAGATGGTATTCACATCTCAGTGCCTACTTTTCCGGAATCAATGTTTTTGAATGGTATAGGGGGGCATCCAATTTACTTTTTTCTCATGGAAAACTAGCTAACGCATAATCATTTCACAACTAGCCTATTCTTTACCCCATTCATCCACAAATCTATCTCCTCTGGATTCAAGTTGTCATATGTGTGATGTTTTGTGACTGTTTTAATCCATTTGGTCAATATATCCATATTTGTACCAGCAACATGCAA